TGACTCAAGATGAATAATTTAAGGCAACAGAATCCTTAAGTTTGATAATGGATAAAAACAGTAAGTAGGTTTGGCTGATATTACAGTTGTGCTTCATAGGACCAGTTAGGGGTTTTCTTTACATTTACTTTATATCAAAAGCATAAGTTGTGCAACATGGAGAGACGTTTATGTGCAAAGATGCAACACATTATGGAGGAGGAAACCAAAATAGGCCAGCTGTTAGTGTGATCTACAGTACTGTCAGTATATAGAAACCTCATGTTCATCTGCCCCAGTATTTTAATGTAAAATTATGTCAAAATCTTCTTATTAAAATGCAGAATGCAAATCGATTCAAATTACTTAAGTCTCTGGCAACAGCAATGTGCAGCTATGATGAGTAACAGACAACAGGTTATTGATTTGGATTCCCAAATTACCACCATTGTATGAAAGGGTGGAAAGAACATTGTAAAAGCATTGTCCATCAGGACCAGACAAAGGCTAGGTTTCAACCTCAGCTCTGAAGAGTCGTAAGGGTCTAATGATCACCTATTGTTAGTAAAACTGTGGGCTGGCTGGTATTTCTATGCCATGACAGGCTTTAGCATCCTTTGGCCAATAGGCCATAGAAATTATAGAAATTAATAGAAAGTGTTCCTGAAGTGGTTGGAGTCAATACCTCTTCCCTCCCACTCCATCACATACATAAAACAAAAAGAAATCCCTCCTCTTTTTAATCTAGACAAAAGCAAATAAAACCCGACCTTACAAGGTCTTCAAAGTCTGACAGAAAAGTTCCCTTAGCTACAGTATATAAACATATTTTCCCTTGAAAGGAGAAGTGAAGTCATCAACATCTCTCCTCTTTGTTGTTCAACACCAAAGTTATTGATCCCTATCAGCTTCCACAGAACAGACATGAGAGAGAGAGCAGAAACCCTCAGTTTCCATCTGAAGATGATACTGCAAGACCTTGGAAATCCCTGAGTCATTCCTTCAGAAGCCCTCAGAACTATTCTATTCTGAAAATAGGGAGGTACAGTACCTGCGACTGTGAGGAGATAACATTGTTAATTAGGAAAGTTAATAAGATGGTACTCTGCTCATCAGTGCTTCTGCCCTTCCTCTCTTCCATGTTAAATGCCTAGAGACTGAACAGACGGATGTCAGAATTACTCTAATGGATGCTTTGGGGGTATTTTTGGTTAGAGGAAAACAATTCCCTCCTTAAAAACTAAGAGGGATTCTCATTTGTACTATTGCATCATTCTGAATGCCCTGAAATTAAAAGCTAAAGCCACGTTACAATTAAGCATTTGGAATAGCACATTTAGCTTATGTAAGGCAGGGGTAAACCCTCTCTCTCTCCCGATGGGTGGCAGATGCCTTTTGATGACCACCCGCTGGTGCCCCAGTTCCGCTGCTTGGATGTTTTTTAAGACATGCAATCAAGTGAGAGATACTCTGGAGTTAGCTAGATCCCCAGTCCACATCATACACACTCTCTTCCATGGGTCTCTGTGGCTGAGTTTACACAGGCATCCCAATTCTGATATTTTTTCCACTAATTGGTCTTTTGACCAATCACATCAGATCTTTTCAGATCAGCTCTTTTTCAGAGCTAATCTGATCTGATTGGTCAAAATACCAATTAGTGAAAAAAAGTGTAAAAGCAGCCTGTTATTTCTGATGTATAACCTGGCCATTCTTGCCAACCCAAATGATTTTAGGCTGCGTTTACACAGGCAGCACAATTCTGATCTTTATTTCACATCAGATCTTTTTCAGAGGAGGTGATGCAGTCCAGAGGCATGGGGGTTCCTGGGAACATGGGGGTACTGGAGTCTTGTGAGTGAAGATGTGGGAAAGAAAATTGTATGTTTTAAATTGCATGGTTTGTGAATGTGTTCCTGGGCCAGAGTGATAGGCCATGCTGAAAAGGTGACCTTGTGAAACGATTACTTAATTTATTAAATCTTTGATAATTGCCTTTGTTGTCTGCCTCTACTTCACCCTGGTTGCTTAACTCAGATCCTAAAGAACCTGACACTTTTCCACCTTGTGACACATGCTTACATCTACAAGCACATTTCGGCTGTGTTTACACAGGCAGCCCAATTCTGATATTTTGCCACATTTTTGGCAAAAGAGCTGATCTGATTGGTCAAGACCAATTAGTTGGAAAATATCAAAATTGGGCTGCCTGTGTAAACGCAGACTTTGTTGTGCTTTATAAATACAAAGCCATGGTACTATAGGGAAGGTCATCTGTTAATCATGCATGGATCTCAAAATTAAATAGTCCAATGTAAATGGTGTCTCCAACACCAATGCTATAGAAACTCAGCAATGAAATACCAACGTGGTAGTAAGTCACCCACTGGGCAAAAGAGTTGAATCAACATTTTTTTCCACGTCATAAAAAAAATAAAATAAGTGATGACGTTGAATCAACGCAGAAAACTGATTGGATTTGCAGAAGTCATCAAGGTAAGGGAATTTTGTATTTCCTGTTTTGTTGCTTTTACGGGAGAGTTTATCATCATAGTCTCTCAGGTGACTTTAAAAGGTAAGGTCATACTAATATTACTGTCGTTATTGGTTGTAGCAGGCTAGTGACAGTAAGTTTATTCGATGTTTTTAGGGTGGGTGTGGTACAGTTGAAGTCGGAAGTTTACATACACTTAGGTTGGAGTCATTAAAACTCGTTTTTCAACCACTCCATACATTTCTTGTTAACAAACTATAGTTTTGGCAAGTCGGTTAGGACATATACTTTGTGCATGACACAAGCAATTTTCCAACAGTTGTTCACAGACAGATTATTTCACTTATAATTCACTGTATCACAATTGCAGTGGGTCAGAAGTTTACATACACTAAGTTGACTGTGCCTTTAAACAGCTTGGAAAATTCCAGAAAATGATGTCATGGCTTTAGAAACTTCTGATAGGCTAATTGACATCATTTGAGTCAATTGGAGGTGTACCTGTGGATGTATTTCAAGGCCTACCTTCAAACTCAGTGCCTCTTTGCTTGACATCATGGGAAAATCAAAAGAAATCAGCCAAGACCTCAGAAAAAATTTTGTAGACCTCCACAAGCCTGGTTCATCCTTGGGAGCAATTTCCAAACGCCTGAAGGTACCACGTTCATCTGTACAAACAATAGTACCCAAGTATAAACACCATGGGACCACGCAGCCGTCATACCGCTCAGGAAGGAGAAAGCCACTACTCCAAAAGAAAAGCCACTTCTCCTAGAGACTAACGGGCAAATCAAACCCAGAACAACAACAAAGGACCTTGTGAAGATGCTGGATGAAACGGGTACAAAATTATCTATATCCACAGTAAAACGAGTCCTATATCGACATAACCTGAAACCGCTCAACAAGGAAGAAGCCACTGCTCCAAAACCGCCATAAAAAAGCCAGACTACGGTTTGCAACTGCACATGGGGACAAATATCGTACTTTTTGGAGAAATGTCCTCTGGTCTGATTAAACAAAAATAGAACTGTTTGGCCATAATGACCATCGTTATGTTTGAAGGAAAAAGGGGGACGCTTGTAAGCCGAAGAACACCATCCCAACCGTGAAGCACGAGGGTGGCAGCATCATGCTGTGGGGGTGCTTTGCTGCAGGAGGGACTGGTGCACTTCACAAAATAGATGGCATCATGAGGAAGGAAAATTATGTGGATATATTGATGCAACATCTCAAGACATCAGTCAGGAAGTTAAAGCTTGGTTGCAAATGGGTCTTCCAAATGGACAATGACCCCAAGCATACTTCCAAAGTTGTGGCAAAATGGCTTAAGGACAACAAAGTCAAGGTATTGGAGTGGCCATCACAAAGCCCTGACCTCAATCCTTTAGAATATTTGTGGGCAGAACTGAAAAAGCGTGTGCGAGCAAGGAGGCCTACAAACCTGACTCAGTTACACCAGCTCTGTCAGGAGGAATGGGCCAAAATTCACCCAACTTATTGTGGGAAGCTTGTCGAAGGCTACCCGAAATGTTTGACCCAAGTTAAACAATTATAAGGTAATGCTACCAAATACTAATTGAGTGTATGTAAACTTCTGACCCACTGGGAATGTGATGAAAGAAATAAAAGCTGAAATAAATCACATTACAATTATTCTGACATTTCACATTCTTAAAATTAAGTGGTGATCCTAATTGACATAAGACAGGGAATTTTTACAAGGATTAAATGTCAGGAATTGTGAAAAACTGAGTTTAAATGTATTTGGCTAAGGTATATGTAAACTTCTGACTTCAACTGTATATATACTGTATGCTACCAGCTACATGGTTGACTCATTGGAAGAGAAGTGGAGGGTAGTAGGCTACTGTACATAATGTGAATGTATATAGTATGACACACATGCAACAGAACTTGTTTTTCAAGTAAACAATTTCCCTGTGTCGTGTTCTGTTTAAAAAGCAAATTTTCTCACCTGCTATTGCATGCATGTCCTTACATACTATACGTAGCTTTAAAGAGGCTATTTAAAGCTGCTGTTGAGTAAGAGGGAAAATGGTCCTGAATATGACAGCATTTTACATATCATACTGATAGGAATTCATGAGGGTATTAGGAGTGGTATTAGCCAATGGGATGAAACTAGAAAATAGTTAACGTAAACCAAAATTCTGTGTGGATTATGGAAATTCAGAACGAACTCGTGACAACGTGTTCTTTGTGTCTAATTTATATAAAGGCTATTTTCATTCTCCACATGGGAGATTTTACTAATACCATAGACAAGTCTTAGGGCAGCACTGTGAACAAGACAGATTGATTCATCTGGCACAGAATAGTGATGTAAATGAATGTGATGAAATTAATGCACCAGCAAGCAATTGCATCTTTGTACAGTACAGCGCCCTCGACTTTCAGGTCTGTCTCGATATGACGACCCAGCAGCCCCCTCTTCCAGGAGACTCTGGCCCATTAACCAGCAATCCACAGAACCGTAGGGGTCCGGGAGGCATCGCCAGAGCCGCTAAGGCTCCATCGCCACAGCTCCTAGTCCAGGGACCAACAGCAGCACCACTCCCCCTCTACTGCTGAGGGGCTTCCCTGGGGCCTGTACCACTATAGAGTCCTCATCCAGGAGCCCCAACGTCAGCAACCCTTTCATACGCCGGGACTCGGTCGCCCTGACAAACACGCTTTTCCTTTCCTTCGGTTAGCTTCAGGGCGGTCGGGCCAGCTTCTCTTGGTTGCCCCTCCATTAGCTTGTCCAGGAGATCCAGCTAGAGAACACCTTGACGACCGAACCAGAGAAGGGCTGTCTTTTTAAGGTCTGTAAGGTCCAGAAGCTTGTGCAAGCCATGTTGGATAGTTATGTGGACACAGACTCAGGCAGCCATCCTGTCAGACAAGATGAAGAGTAAAAGAGCAGTCTTCCACAGTACAAGCTGGTGCGTCAGAACAGGAACCATGGGTGGCCAGTTGGTGTCTGTGGTACTCACAGCCTGATGACTTTGCAGTGGCCATGTTCCAAAAACCATTATTTTTGCCTTGGTCCATAGGGTTTATGGTGAGTGAGTATACACTGACAACCAGTAGATCCAAGTTTTTGCATAAAAGTGGCTAGTTCACCTGGATGAACACTGGTAAATTCCTAGGGCCAGAATGTCAACTCCAGTGTATGACCAACACTTGTTTGTGGATCAATTTGTTTTTGCGATTTGTATTTCACCAACACCTTGGTCAAATGTTGTGCTTCCTTGTACAGACATTATGCTCATGGGGCAAAAAAAAAGCCCCCATACAGTTGTAGTTTCAGATGAAAATCAAACAAATTGTCAAATAATTCAAAATGGTCAATGTGATGTCCATAAACTTTATTTTACTCCCACTCGCCCAAATATAGCACAAAAGTGATCATATTGAACATTTCCCATGTGTCAAGACCATACAATTACACATTAATAAATAAATGTATAAATAAAATAAATACATGACATTGTTGTGCACAAAAATAAAGATTCTGAAAAAGCAGATGCTTTCACAATGTTGGATCTTTGACAAGACCTGGAAGTTGTATAATACTTGCACTCAGGAATCACAGTTTAAGGATACAGCTCTGGGCAGAGACGGCAATGTAAACCAAAGGGGATGGTACAGTATGATAAATACGATACATATTTTTTACATAAAGATATTACCGGGTTATAATACCATTTTATCAAAAGCTTATACCAGGTAGTGAGACTAGTGCTTTTCTGACATTTTAAGTTACCCAATTCCAAGTAAAAAAGTATTTGCCTCCATAGCCCATCTCATGCCGCCACGTCGACATTCAAGAGGGCTGTTATTGCACAATACAGGCAGACATCCCTCAAAAAGGCACTTTATCCCCCTTTGCCAAACAGCAAGCAATGCAATGTAGCTCAGCCTTTTTTACCTGAACACTAAAAATCTATATTACCCAGTTAAGGTTAAAAAATAATGACCTTTTGGTAGCTATAGCTAAAAACTAAAATAAAACTAGTTGTAAAATGACTGCGAATCCAAAGAAATATATTAAGTGAAAGTTGTCGCACCCATTGCCCTCCGTATGCCGTTGTGTACCAATTAGTGAAGTTTAATCATTAAAAAAAGGCAAGTGATATCGAAGCGTAAAAAAAAAGGAAGCTAAGACCCACTTCTCAGTTTCTCGACATTGGGGTGGTCACTTGGCAGCTTGTGATCCCAGCCTGCCATTTTCAGAATCAGGTCCGAGCATTAGCTGAGAGAACAGGGTCGGGTTTTTTTGTGTGCATGAAGTGAGTCAAGCCAGTAGTGTAATACTGTAGTCAGATTATAGGTTTCATTCTAAAAGGAAAATAAGAACAAAAATATATGCACCATAGTCCAAAGAGGCCAGACACTAGCCTAAGATTGGAGAGGTCTCCCTGAATGAACGGAGGCTCCTGGTCATTTACTCCCAGTGGAAGCAGAAAGCAGCAGGTTGGTTGAGACTTGTGGATGGAGCCATGGCCCTGGGGGAGAAGTTTCCCTAGGTACAGATCCAGGATCAGGTTGCCCTCCCCCAATCCTAACCATTAGTGTGGGAAATTCAGCGTCTTGGGGCAACGTCACCTTACTCCGAAGCGGTGGGTCCATTATGACTCTCCGTGATGTTGGAGCAGCTGGACCACGTAGCGCATGCGGTGCCTCAGCTCGGCAGAACAGCCCATCTCTGACAGCATGCTCAGGAGGTATGTGTAGGAGACGCGCTCGCGGCTGATGTAGGTCAGTAGGTAAGAGTCGGAGGACTTGCACAGGATGATCTTGGTGTGGTCTGTGTAGAAATTCACCTGGGGGAGGAGGAAGGTAAATATGTGATAAGTCAAGTGGCATACATCTTACATAATTACAGTGATCGGATATCACAAGAGGGTTTTGGAACTAAAACGGTGCTCCTAAAAGCATATAGCAGACTAATATCTACAGGTTGTGATGGAGAGCGCAGCTGTAAGGCCTTACCTGCAGGGTACCGTTGTTGAACAGCATCACCAGAGCATGGTCGGTCTTCACCCACTGCAGAAGGAGCAGTGGCTGGGAGGGAGGCTGGTCTTCACAGTAGAGGTCGCCACCCTGGAAGACACAGGACACTTATGTTACATTACAATCCCATTTAGATCGTAAAACTACATCCTGATCACTCACACCCTGATAAGGTGGTTAATAGCGATAACTTCCTTCTCCAATGCCTTACCTCCATCAGGTTCTGTTCCATGTAGTTGGCCATCAGCTCCACAATCTGCTTCTGGCTGCAGAGCTGCTCTGGTAAAGCACTGGCCTGGAAGGTGAAGTGTTTGTTGTTGGTCAAGCAGTAGTGCACAGTCCTGTGGGGAAGACAATGGAGCTACATTAGATGAGACAAGGGTTTGAGACGTTCAAAAGGCTACAATAAACCAGCACAATTCAGGTTCGCAAAGCAATAAACTAAGGCTAATAACTGCTTGAATTAAATTTTTATCAAGTTGAAAAGGACTCTTACTTGCGTTGATCACACAGAAGCAAGTGTGTCCCCTCGTTGAAGAGCACACCAATGTTTTGATTGGAGAGCTGGTAGCCAAAGCCGTATTTGTTGGAATAATCAACCCACTTTGTGACCCAGATAAAGGATTTGGGCCTGGAAAGACAAGGCGGGTTTCTTGTAGCTGGAGAGGAAGAGAGACTAGTTTAGAAATGGAAGATTTCAGTATATTCAACTTGTTTAAATTCCCATTTGAAGTTTAGTACTAGAATAGCTTGTGGAGAAGTGGAAAGCTCACCTGCAGGCATGGCAGACAAACAGCTGTTGAGGACCTTCATGGCCGACTCTGCTACAGAAGCAGGGGTAAGGCCATCTTCACAGGCTGGAGAGAGGAGAGGGTGAAGTTTAGAACTCCTCACCAACAGTGACAGTCTGACTCAACCACTTGTCAGGCCCATAAACTCAGATGTTACGAAACCAGCCATGCACTTATGTCACTTCACTATAATCCATGTAGATGAAAGGCTGTCTCAGTTATACATATGGAAAAAAGATAATGATCTTTTAGGGCTCCATTATTGGCACAACATCACATTTAAAGCATCAATCATGTTCAGTAATTGAGGTTCATCAAACTGAACCAGAGTAGTGGCTTACGTTCTGTGCTGCTGGCCACCGTGCCTTTAAAGGAGCGTGCAGACTTCCTGGACTCCTCCTCAGCTGGAGTATCCAGCAGACCAGAGCTGACTTGCTGGCCTACTGTGGGAGAGGGAGCCTGAAAGAGGGAACAGCTTTCATGAGCGTCGGAAAACAAAGGACCGGTTGTCCTTCCTTACAAAGGCTAAATCTGACCCCAAAAAGCAAAGAACGGCACGAGACAAATGCAGTTTGTTGTATTGAATGAGAGCTACAGACGTCAGTAGGCTGGGAGAACTAAGATTTGTAGTGTGCATATCCTGATGCAATTGCATTTTGTTCCACAGGCCTGAATCACAGACCTTTTAAAAGATGGGTCAAGCCATTACCCACAATCTCCCTTGCTAAAATAAGTACAGTACAACACTATTCTGAGACATTCACTACTATGGCTGCTCTCTTACAGTCCCTTGCTGGTCTAGGTCCCTTGCTTCATCTCAGCTAACAAGCAAAACTGCTGCATTGTTTGAAAGTAATTAACCTTATGTCTAGCCTGCGCTATAGAAAAGTTTAGCTTATGCTAAAAAAATATCTATCCTTCAAAATAATACATACCTCATTGGTGCCAACTGTTTTGTAGCTCATCTGGCGACTGATGGAGCATTTGACGATGCCGGACACAAGCTTGGAGATGCTCTCTCGCTCTTCACAATGGTTCTTCTCCACTATAAAACCAAACGTGTTAAATTATACCCCGATTCAAGGCTTAATCCTGGGGTTAAACTGCAGCCTTTTGAAGGTCAGTCGTGACTTGCCACAATGCTTACCTTTGGATTTTTTCTTGCCAAAGAGACTCTTGGCCATCTTGGTGAAGAACCTCTTGGCAGGGCTGGGTGGGTTGAGCTCTGGCACCATCACACAGCTGCTGGGAGGCAGTTTGTCCGGGGTGAAAGCCTATGAGAAAAAAAACGTTTTAGGTCAGGGAAACTGCAAGGTCGGCAATTCAAGCAACCACTTAGCGCGATTAACACTGCCATCCTCTCGAGTCTTCACTCTTTAGTCAGTGGGCACGTGCTGTTATGCAGACTGGCTTTTTAGAAAGTACACTTTATATCCAAGGCTCAGCCCTCTAAATTGTACCCAAATTGCATCTAAAGATCAAGAAGCATAACAATGCAATTGGAATGTCATTCAAACTAGAAATACAAATCAAGGCATTGGAGGAGACTCAAATATAATCCAATGAGTAAAAAGGGCTATGGGAATTGGTGCTGTAAAGTCAAGCCTAATTACAGGGCCTGGGCAACATACTTTGGTGAAGAATTGGTGGTTGAGGATTTGGTCCAGTGTGAGGCGGTCACTGGGGTTCTTCTGCAGAATGCCAGAGATGAGCTTCTGAGCTGCAGGAGACAGGGTCGAGGGCAGGTTGTATTTTACTTCCTTGATACACTTGTATGTCTCCTTCAGGTCGAGGGTTTCAAAGGGAGGGTTCCCACACATCAGTGTGTACCTGGTTGAAGAAAATAAAAACATTAAGTCTCTCCACTGCCAATTGATTTAAACTGTTGACACATTCCTCTATTTTTGAGGAATGTTATAAAAGCCTAAACTTGCTCAGCAGTAGTCTACCTCATAACCCTTAAACAATTTTTTTTGCATACGCTCAATTCATTCACATATTCAAGGCCTATGTAGGAGCTGTAGTGCCACCATAGCGCAAAGCGTAACAAGTATGCACTTAGTCAAATTCAACAACTTGATTGCACAAGACAAACATTCCAAGTATACTTACATTACACAACCTAGTGACCAGACGTCAGACTCCGTTCCATGGCCCTGCCTGTTCAACACCTCGGGGGCAAGGTAGTTTGGCGTTCCACAGATCGTTCTGAAGAGAAACAGGTGTGCATTAGAGCAGTTGTTCACCTCGGATTGGCTTTGAAGGAAACAATAATATTCTGCCATAGGAAGAGGACATTCCGCCAGATGACTTACTTCTTCCTCTGCTCAACAGTTTCCATCTTCGCTGCAAGCCCAAAGTCTCCCAACCGCAACTCCATGTTCTCATTCACAAAGAAATTGCCTGTAAGCGCAACATTTGTCAGGTCAGTTTTCCCAGGCCTCTCATGAGGAACAGGTACCAGTCTGAAGTGCTTTGATATAAAACTACAACCAAATAATGACAAATTCAAAATATGACATTGAGATTTTCAAAATGGCTGAACTGAATGAGATCAATGGTGTAGTAAAATAATCCAAATGATACATCTTATTCCACAAATCACTCTACATACCTAATTTGAGATCCCTGTGAAGGATGCCTCTGTTGTGAAGGTACTTCAGCCCAGATATGATCTGCCGGAGGTAGTACCGCACTTCTGGGTCTGTCAGTGTGTGTCTTGCTTTCCAAATGTGTGCCAGGGACTGCAAAGACAAGGTGAGAGTTCCGTCAGTACCCAGTGAACACCCTTCAGAATGTCTGCACAAGCTGTACCACTACAGAACAAAGCAGCCGCACAGCTCACCTTTCTACTGCAGAGCTCAAGGAAAATATAGATGTTGTCTTGGTCTTCGAAATGATGGGAGAACTTCACCACATGCTTGTGATGTAGGGTTTTGTGAAGTTCGATTTCATTTGTTATCTGTCAGAAGAATAATAATTAAAAAACAGTTACCCAGAATATCAGCAGGAATAAAGACTAATCCTTTTTGGAAAGGAGTTAAAGTCTGCAGATTATTGACAATGTAATGTGTCCTTACCTTATCCCTCTGATGAGGTTTTGACACCCTGCTCTGTGGTATCACCTTTACAGCATACATTTTGTTGTTGGAAAGGTCTGTCATTTCGTAGCATCGTGCAAAGCCACCCTTTGAAGAAAAGCAATACCCTACGAATTAGTATCAGCCTTAATTTTTTTTATCCATAAAATAACAAATGCTGTGTTCACAATTACATTTCTTTATGCATTTATCAACACGATAGGCAACTGCAAAGTAGCCTATGTTGGCATTGCCTATCCAATGACGTATGTTGCTACCACACATCTTGTACAGAAATGTGATGATTTTCTTTCATCAAATACTCAAATTGTAGAATGAGAATGACATTCGCAATTGTGTCAAATACACTACCATTTTGTTTATAATGAAATGCAATTCGATTTAGGATGATGCGGCTGCAGCATTTTAACAAACATTGACATTTTTCCCCTCCCCATGCGGCAGCACAGACAGAGGCGAAGATGTTTAGACACCGCGCTGTGTTGATACATTGTATCATACTGATGTATTTAGAATATGTAGATTGTATCAACGATTTATCAGTGACACGTACAGCGTTACATTGCAACTGGCCAAATAATGTTCACTATTCTCATGACGGGTGGCTTATAAAAGGTGGCTGGGAGATAGTCTACCAATGAGCCAAGTTCCACCACCTCAAAATAAAGTCACAATAGATAAAATATTGATAGTTGGGCTTGTAGCCTAGACTAATACTTCACTAGAGAGAATCAATGAAGCTGGTAGAGAGTTCGTCATATCCCGCACGAGGTTATTATTCCACAATGGAACAATCACATTTGAGTGTAATTTAAAGCCTTGGCTTGTAGAACATGTGAACCAACCGGGAATAAATCATGCCAATGAATGAAAGTTGCCACGTTGTAACACTGACGCAGCAATAGCCCATTTCTCTCTTTATACTACCATCAGGCCACATTGTCACCAGAACTGTCTAAATAATTGATTTGTGTGTGATACATAGCAGCCCATAGATCAAATTGATAGAATAATATACCTTTCCCAGAAGCTTTCCTTTGCTGTAAGATTTTCCTGTCTTGGAATCAGTCACCACCTGGGCGAGTTCTGATTTGATTTGTTCCGATTTAGTCCTGTTCGGTTTAGTAGGAGGGGGAATAGCTTGGCCATGTTCTGGACAAGGTTTAAATAGATCCGGATTCATCGTTAGACATGAAATACGCTGAGCGGTGGTAAAACACGCGGTATCCATTCATCCAAAAATAAATATTCTCCAACAATCCTCTGATTCAACAATTGCTCCTTTCAATAAAGTTGTATCCTAAAATCCAATTCGTATCCATCTGACATGCTCAGGCAGAAAATTCCTCAGCTATATAAACTGTCCCTGACGTCACGGAAGTGGGCGGGTGAATAGGTTGCGCATTACTGAAATGAACCAACCCTATTTGGTCGAAATACTTCTCAATCAAAGCTGATTGAAACGATAAATGTGATTTTCATGTGTGTGTGAAATTCTGAATGAACTCATGAACAATTTATCCAGTCACGTGACTGTATTGATTCCACTGCTGTTGAACGAGAGGATTTTTTGAGACATGGAGATTTTCAACCCATCTTCTTTTTTAAATAGGCAAGACATTTTTTTCACATTATCAGAGCAACACCACTATTCTATCAGAGCACGTCACACGTATTATTCTATATCAACATGACATGTATATTCTATATCACGATGAAATATATATTTATTTACTTATCTTATTAGTATGATTTTGTCTTAGAAATTGTAATATGCAACCAGTATCTTGGAAATTAAATTACTTGTAATTTTAAAAAAACCGCAATCAACGAACAGCATTTTATCATATTGACATTATCACTAGGCTGAACATATCGAGGCTGTCAACTCATTTCACTTCTGACAGTGCATGGGAAAGTGATCCCAGATGCCACCTGGTGGAGTAAACATTGAATGGTTTCAGCATGAACTATAGCACATTCACATTTGCGCCATTTAGCAGACACTCTTACCTAGAGCAATTTACAGGAGCAAATAGGGTTAAGTGCCTTGCTCAAGGGCAAATTGTACTTATCTAACATGCTGTAGTTTCCTTCATATAATACAAATGTATTTCAGTAGGGAATCATCTCAGCAGTGCATGTTCAACAAATAGCCATTGGCTATTTAAGAAGTATATGGCCAATATACCACATCTAAAGGCTGTTCTTAAGCACGACACAACGCAGAGTGTCTGGATACAGCCATTAGCCGTGGTATATTGGCCATATACCACAAACCCCTAAGGGGCCTTATTGCTATTATAAACTGGTTACCAATGTAAATAGTATTTTTTGTCATACCTGTGGTAGAGTCTGATATACCACAGCTTTCAGGCAATCAGCATTCAGTACTGGCTTATAATTGCAAATAATCAGTGGCTGAGTTACTACAGGATCTGGTCACACCTAGGACAACCCTTTCTCAGCTTTACATGTTGAGAAGCGATGTTCAAAACTGTCAATACTCAGCAATTGGAAAGCTGCTCCCTTGTTTTAGGTATAAAACACATTTTGTATTCATACAATGTTTTTCTTTTTAATAAAGGTTTCTGCTAATAATTGGCCCCGCAGTAACCCCCCCCCCCCCCCCCCGTAATTCAAACAATGGCAATCCCTTTTCATGTAAATGTCTCTGGGGTCTGCATCTTGATCACTTCACTTGCATTTCAGAACCAGACCATGGAAGGCAACAAGAAACATTTAATTAGAGTGAATAACTTTTACATTTTATTCTGAAATACATGAATGATTACATACATGAATGCAATTTTACCTTCACAAATATACTTTGTGATCTACCTAATAAAGTGGGATTTGAAAAGTTATCACCTTTTGGAATAATTTGAGGATGGAACAGCACAGCAAACTTTCATTTTCAATCAGTCCAAGGACTTTTAAGAGGGCAATGGAATGCAAAATCATCAATGTACAAAAATAAAAATAATGAAGGACTGGAAGGTTGGTAGATTTGGAGCAGGGGTGTCAAACTCATTCCATGGAGGGCCTAGAGCAGGGTTTCCCAAACTCAGTCCTCGGGATCCCAAGGGGGGCATGTTTGTTTTTTGCTATAGCACTATACACCTGATTGAAATAATCAACTAATCACCAAGCTTAGATAATTTGAGTCAGCTGAGGACAGTTTGGGAAACGCTGGCCTAGAGTCTGCGGGTTTTTACTTTCAGTTAAGACCTAGACAACCAGGTGAAGGGAGCTCTTTACTAATTAGTGATCTTAATTCATGAATCAAGTACAAGGGAGGAGCGAAAACCCACAGACAGTCGGCCCTCCGTGGAATGAGTTTGACACATGATTTAGAGGGTGTGGATCAGGTTCAAAACATGTCCATGTTGCCCATGTCTCCATCTCCTTTGGCTTTCTTGTCCTGAGACTCAGACCAGGCCTTGTTGATGGTGCGCTTCATCTCATCGTCCCCCTCAGAGTACATCTTTTTCAGCATGCTCATTAGTCCATCGCTAGGATCAGCATTCTCGTCTGGGTTTACACTGGGCTTACTGTGCAAAAGAGACAAGGTTATGTATTACTCTAAAAAGTGTTGGCAGTAAACATCTTGAACACAGTCAAAGGTAAGGCTCAATATCTATTACAAGTCTAATCAATTAAGAGTGATTCAATCTTGAACCATGAAATTATTTGGCATACCACACTAAATTGTGTTTGACTTACTCTTTTTCTTTGGTCTGTTTCTGCACCTGTGTTAAGCATTCCCACTTCTTGATAGTCTTCTTCTTACACATTACCAGGACCATATCCGTTTTAATCTATAAAACAAATAAGGATATGACACGGGATATGTAATTTACACTTTGACCAGATACGGTATTGCAGTCTACAATGATGGAAATCTAAAAGAATCAAACACCTTTTTAGAGCTGTCCTGAACATCAACAGGATAAAGAAGATTCTTGATAGTCATTTGATGGTTCTTCCCATCCAAATCTTTTACAAGTAGAACGAAAGACCTGTATGCAGGAAACAATGGATCAGTTTTCAAATGAAAAAATAAAAACATAGGCTAAGTGTTGACTAACATGCTGACCACACCGCACGCGTGAGGTCTACGCTCCAGTCCAGTTGGTTGTGGTAATGCACCATAAAGTTGGTTGCCAACCGCCATATAAAGTCCAAAGAAGAAGAAGCCTGATGGAATAGAGTTTACTAGAAAACAAACTTTTACCATTTTATCTGTGGATTAATAGTGGGAGTAGAGGACCTTGTGCATTTCAGGTAAAATAACAACCCAATGTTTATATCCCAGGACAAATTAGCTAGCAACAGCAAACTAGCTAGTTAAATTGCCATAAATGTTTAATGCTTTTCGACCTATCCCGAAATTAATATATTTGGTTCAGTTTGTTTAGATATTTCAACCTGCGTGTCCTGATCGCGTTTGGTGTGGGGGGACAAAATCAACTTGCGCGCGGTCTGGGTAGTAGGTAAGAGATAGCAAAAAAAGGGATTGAAGCTTTTATCAATGTGCCATGACTAAAGCATAGCCTACCTCTCTGTGAAAGTGACCTCCACATTTTCTGGCGCAATCTTGTGTACGCCATTGAGTGTGATGTAGATTTTGACCAATTTTTCTGATTGGTCCCACCCTGCGTCAAAGAACATACATTCATTGTAAAAGCAGCAGTTGCTGTAACCTACATTTTTTACATTAGTGTTTGCTAGCTGAGCTGCTAGGAAAGTAATTAATACTTTTAGATATTACAAAAGTAGTACCATAATTGTTTATTTTGACTGTGTATGCTTTTGAGGCAGAGGTTGGGTCTGCCTCCCTTTTTGCCTGCTGCTCTTTCTGATGTCGCTTCACTGAAATCTCCTTCTCAATCTTATTCTGTTCCAGTTTGAGGACATCCTGAACACGTGTTCTCTCAGAATTCTCCAGAAGACTGCTGATCTCCTGCAGGTCTGTCTCCAACTGCTTGATCTAAAGAGAATAAACAAACATGTCTGAACATCGTCAAAAGAAGTTACCGTTAGCTAACATTGATTTGCAACATTAACGTCAGCTAACAAGCCAACTCACTAGTTAACTGGCACACCAAAACGCCAACAAGCTAACTAACTAGCTACTTGACATGCCATGGGTTTGACTTAATATTTAGTTAACTAATGGTCCGTGCAAAACTGTGTGCAATTTAGATCCTATTAAATTGGTAATGAATTAAGTATTCTTCCTCATTCCTAATTATATGGCGCAACATCAGCTAACGTTAGCTAGCTTACAAACGATAACATCACAGATAACTATTGGTAGCTAACTGGCAAGTAAACCAGCTGAGAAGACTGACTGGGCTATTTTGATACAATTCTCAGCAGTCCCAAAACAAGCTGGCTAATTACCTGTTCGTTGAGGTCCATTTCGTCGTTAATTCTATAAGGTTTGTTTGGATATCTCGTGCCGTGGATAGATTAACAGCCAAGGTTCCAATGCTCTTTTGTAACAAGGAAAATGATCCGTCTAGAGCGATTGGTGTTTCACTTGAGTTCCGTCAGTATTTTCACCTTTGTCTATCGGTCAAAATGTACAATGTCCAAGGATACCTGAAAATCAATTTGCCTATGAATAATTTGTTGACTTTTCTTTCACATTACTAGAGTTGAAGGAAACAAGTACAACTACTATTTGGCTCAGAACAAAAATCGACAGTTCATTTAGATGAAAGCACTATATTTGATATGAGGCGCAGTAGTAGTACGTTTTATTTGTTTTTCGCAGTCAGACTGAATTGTACACTAATTTACAATCATAACATCAATCATATATAATTATCGAATAGTAAAATCCTAAACTAGCAAAACACTTAAAGGTGTAATATGCAGAAATCGCTCTGCCATTTCCTGGTTGATAAAATTGTAATAGTTTCAGTTTGTGACAAAACAAGCAATTCCTTAGTGTTGAGAATCATCGTACCTTCTATACCGCTGCGGAATATATTTTCAATAACCAAAAATATTGTATTTTCAGTTGGTTGAAGCTCGTGTACAAAACTGAAAGTAAAAGACACAAAAACGAAACTTAAGAACAGAAGCATAGAAATAGTGCACATAGAACTGATCTACCGCTTCTTATATACTGAACAAAAATATATAGGCAACAAGTTCAACGATTTTACGGAGTTACAGTTCACATAAGGAAATCAGTCAATTGAAATAAATTAATTAGGCCCTAATCTATGGATTTCACATGACTGCCCAGCCAATCAGAATGAGTTTTACCCCACAAAGGGGCTTTATTACAGACAAAAATACTCCTCAGTTTCATCAGCTGTCAGGATGGCTGTTCTCAGACGATCCCGCAGCTGAAGAAGCCGGATGTGGAGGTCCTGGGCTGGTGTGGTTACACATGGTCTGTGGTTGTGAGGCCGATTGGACGTACTGCCAAATTCTCTAAAACGATGTTGAGGCGGCTTATGGTAGAGAAATTAACATTCCATTTTCTGGCAACAGCTCTGGTGGATATTCCTGCAGTCAGCATGCCAATTGCACACTCCCTCAAAACTTGAGACATCTGCGGCATTGTGTTGTGTGACAAAACTGCACATTTTAGAGTGCCCTTTTATTGTCCCCAGCACAAGGTGCACCTGTGTAACGATCATGCTGTTTAATCAGCTTCTTGATATGTCATGTGGATGGATTATGGATGCAAAGAAATGCTCACTAACAGAGATGGAAACAAACTTGTGCACAAAATGAGAAATAAGCTTTTTGTGCGTATGGAAAATGTATGGGATCTTTTATTTCAGCTCATAAAACATGGGACCAACACTTTACATGTTGCGTTTATATTTTTGTTCAGTACTTTCTATCAATGAGAATGACAGATCTATACCTCACACTTCTATGTGAATTTGGTCAAGCCACCCAAAAAGCAGCTTTAATACAATGTTAAAATATGCAATACCATATTGTACAAACATTAGGAACACCTTCCTAATATTGAGTTGCACCCTATTTTCCCCTTAGAACGGCCTCAATTCGTCAGGGCATGGACTACAAGGTGTCGAAAGCATTACACAGGGATGCTGGCCCATGTTGACTCTACAGTTGTCAAGTTGGGTGGTGGACCATTCTTGATACACACGGGAAACAGTTGAGCGTGAAAAACCCAGCAGCGTTACAGTTCTTGACACACTTAAATCAGTGCGTCTGGCATCTACTACCATAGCCATTTCAAAGGCACTTAAATAATTTGTCTTGCCCATTCACCCTCTGAATGGCACACATACACAAGCCATGTCGCAAGGCTTAAACATCCTTCTTTAACCTGTCGCTCCTCCCCTTTAGCTACACTGATTGAAATAGATTTAAAAGGTGACATCAATAAGGGATCATAGCTTTCACCTGGTCAGTCTGTCATGAAAATACCAGATGTTCCTAATGTTTTGTACACTCAGTGCATACAAAACAACAATACTACGACGACAAGGTTAGGTTTGGCAGCTTTAGAAAATACATCTTTAGAGTTCTTTGGAAGGCATTTTTAAGGCCCTGGGCTATTTGGTGTGAAGTATGGAATGGAGAGTTCTGATAGTGGTCTGTGCGTGTCATGGTAGTGTTCAGTTTGTGGCTGTTTGCTGGTTTCCCGTCCAGTAATGTGCCGTCTGGTTGGGGCGAGCCAGTCTGCAGGGATTTAGCAAATATGAGTCTACGGCAATGACCACGTTTACATGCGCACAGTATTCTGGATAGTAGCTCATAACCCGCTTAAGGTCTTATTCGGGATAAACTGTTTACATACACCTTTGATATACCGCTCATGAGTATCGCTGTAACCATGCATAAACATAATATTCCTAATTTAAATATATGGGTTAAATGGAATAGTAACTGAAATATGGACACTGACTGTAGGCCTATAACCGCTCACATGTAGCGTTATATAATATGAAGTCCTGCAGAATTATGCATTTCTTGCAGTGAAATTATACAACAAATGCTAATTTTGTCTCGGGAACAGGAGTGGAGAAATGTGTTATCTTTGACACTGTTATGCGAGCAGTCAGTATTTCAACCACAAAATATGCACCCAAAACCAACTGAAGTATTATGAGAAACGTGTTTTGACGTTTTCTCAGCTTTTCATTTCCTTAACTGGTCAAACTGATGACATTTGTACATTTTGCACAGGACCAATCTTTCCACCTGTTTTGGAGTTATTGCGTTTTCTCCCTGGTCTCTAAACGAATCAGACAACTTTACCAGTGTTTAACTAGATTACTAATGCATTCATTCTATCGATGTAAGACATTATTCTGGTGAGCACTACTTTATTTAGTCTTCTGGGGCAACAACTTATGTATTAAACTATAGTTGACAAACAAATGGCTTACCAAATGTCAGAAATTATAAGCAGAAACTTGTCTAAATTAGGGGTGAAAGTAGTCAGTAGTAAATTATTGTAGGCTAAATTATGGAATTATGGTGGATCAAACTGCGCAGGTACAGTGCCTTGCAAAAGTATTCATCCCCCTGGCGTTTTTCCTAATTTGTTGCATTACAACCTGTAATTTAAAATGGATTTATATTTGAATTTCATGTAATGGACACACTGAAAATAGTCCAAATTGGTGAAGTGAAATGAAAAAAATAACTTGTTTCAAGAAATTCAAAAAAATAAATTACGGAAAAGTGGTGTGTGCATATGTATTCACCCCCTTTGCTATGAAGCCCCTAAATAAGACCTGGTGCAACCAATTACCTTCGGAAGTCACATAATTAGTTAGATTGCACACAGGTGGACTTTATTTAAGTGTCACATGATCTCAGTATATATAAACCTGTTCTGAAAGGCCCCAGAGTCTGCAACACCACAAAGCAAGGGGCACCACCAAGCAAGCAGCACCATGAAGACCAAGGAGCTCTCCAAACAGGTCAGGGACAAAGTTGTGGACTAAAAAAAAAAAAAAAAATGTGGAGAAGTACAAATCAGGGTTGGGTTATAAAAAAATATCCCAAACTTTGAACATCCCACGGAGCACCATTAAATCCATTATTAAAAAATTTAAAGAATATGGCACCACAACAAACCTGCCAAGAGAGGGCCACCCACCAAAACTCATGGACCAGGCAAGAAGGGCATTAATCAGAGGCAACAAAGAGACCAAAGATAACCCTGAAGGAGCTGCAAAGCTCCACAGCGGAGATTGGAGTATCTGTCCATAGGACCACTTTAAGCCATACACTCCACAGAGCTGGGCTTTACGGAAGAGTGGCCAGAAAAAAGCCATTGCTTCAAGAAAAAAATAAGCAAACAAGTTTGGTGTTCGCCAAAAGGCGTGTGGGAGACTCCCCAAACATATGGAAGAAGGTACTCTGGTCAGATGAGACTAAAATTGAGCTTTTTGGCCATCAAGGAAAACGCTATGTCTGGCGCAAACCCAACACCTCTCATCACCCCGAGAACACCATCCCCACAGTGAAGCATGGTGGTGGCAGCATCATGCTGTGGGGATGTTTTTCGTCGGCAGGGACTGGGAAACTGGTCAGAATTGAAGGAATGATGGATGGCGCTAAATACAGGGAAATTCTTGAGGGAAACCTGTTTGTCTTCCAGAGGTTTGAGACTGGGACGGAGGTTCACCTCCCAGCAGGACAATGACCCTACGCATACTGCTAGAGCAACACTCAAGTGGTTTAAGGGGAAACATTTATATGTCTTGGAATGGCCTAGTCAAAGCCCAGACCTCAAGCCAATTGAGAATCTGTGGTATGACTTAAAGATTGCTGTACACCAGCGGTAGCCATCCAACTTGAAGGAGCTGGAGCAGTAAAAAAAAATTTTTTTTTGGGGGGGGGGGTGAATAGTTATGCACGCTCAGGTTTTCAGTACCTTTTTGTTTGTTTCACAATTTTTTTTATTTTGCATCTTCAAAGTGTAAACCAAATAATACAAACCCCCAAAAAATCAATTTAAATTCCAGGTTGTAAGGCAACAAAATAGGAAAAATGCCAAGGGGGTGAATACTTTCGCAAGCCACTGTAGCCTACTTTTTTAAGTGATTTGTTTGACAATCAGTTGAAAACATCACAACACCCATAATATGCGAAATTGAGCCTGCACAGACCGCAAAAACAACAGTAAACGGGATAAGATGTTTACATGCCACAGTATCCTGTTTTAGATCAGCATATCCCAGGCATCTTATCCAGGTTTCTCATAACCGGGATACAAGCCTTTTCGGGTTATTGTAAATGGGATGATGTTTATATGCGTCAACTCAAAAACAGAATACTTGAGTATCCTGAATAATAACGGACATTGGTGTGCATGTAAATGTAGTCAATGTCTCAGGGATAAATGCGAGCCACACTGGCTGTGAAAACACCTGATGTGATTGGTCAAAAGACCAGTTAGTGAAAATACAATTAAAATAATTGGGCTCCCTGTGTAAACACAGCAATTGAATATTGCTACATTCAATAATGGAAAAGACACTTTGCTAGTGAAAGCACTTTGTCAGAATGATAAGTGAATGTACACAACCTCATATTTGAGCACTGTGAGCTCTCAGCAATACCAAATGCTTAATTGAACATATAAAATGATAAGTTATCTCTGGAGCATCCTTGACATAAGGCTTTTTACAACACCAATAGCAAAGCACCAATTCTCATTAAAAGAATCAGGACGGGATTCAAACATACATCCTTTTATTTGTTTTAATACAGTTAACACCTTTATAAGCTGTCAGTTGCAACCTTCAATTAACATAATTCAAAGTGGGGTGGAAAAGAAAAACAGAGTTCACACAGCATAGTGTACTGTGTTGGTCTGGTTGTCCAACTATGAGTACCCTAATCACCAGTAGTGTAGTAGAGGGTAAATGCACTTAAATGCTTTTTATTTTATTTTGCACGAGTGTTTACCCATCTTTTGCAGGTTTAGGGAGCGTTACTTTACTCACAGCAAACAATGACCACCTATTTTTTTTTTACCACTACATCATTGCGAGAAATCAATCACCACATGGCCCGCTGTATTCCAGACATCTGGTTGTGGTCCGCCAGGTGACGGAAGACTATGCGACTGAGACGCCACCTGCGCTTGACTCCGCGCGGCCGTGAGGTCATCACACATCTATTCCGGATTCGTACTGGGCAGCTGTCACGTGGTAGTGCGGCAATTTCTCTATCAGCAACCTCCTGCAAGGACAGTTATTGGTCATGTAAAAGAGTGTAGGCTTAATATTCAACAAACATAAGCTACTCAAACAAGTTGTTGTTACCTCCTTCTACACCCCCCCCCCCCCCCAAATAAATAAATAAATAAAAAAGTGTAAAGTGGTTATCCCACTAGTTATAGGGTGAATGCACCAACTTGTAAGTCGCTCTGGATAAGAGCGTCTGCTAAATTACGTAAATGTTACCTTTAATTAAATTACCATTGATGTTACCACAGGACATCCTGCCCCAGTAGTTTCAATGTCATGTGCACAAGTACATTGAAATGCCTTTCTTGCGAGCTCTAAACCCAACAATGCAGTAATCAATATCAATGTGGCACTAAAAACAACATAAGGGGAGAAAAAAGGAGGAGGGGGGGGGGGGGGGGGGGGGGGGGGAGGAATAAGAACACTATCTGTGCGTTAAAGATGTTGACGATGAGTATGAGGTGTCTTTTCTCGAATGCCTGGGAAGCTCCTATTCAAACTCCCATTAGACAGCTCTGCTAGCGTTAATGTCAAAATACGTTTGTTACTCACCAAATATGGAGTTTCACTGAGCAACCATCTTCATTTACTCCCTTTACGGCAGGTATGTATTTCCGAAAAGGTCTAAATAAAAATTTACAAGCAGGCAAAAAAATTCCATTTTGGCACCTCCAATGTATTGAGCTGTTGTAGACTTACGACCTGTGCGTGGAAGTAATGAGTGATTGGAGGTGCCGAATAGTATTTTTTTCAGTTGCTTGTAATTATTATTTGTATTTTCTTTGCTGTCTAATGGGAGTTCGAATGAAAACTTCCTGGGCGCTAGAGAAGACACGTCATACTCATCGTCGGCATCTCTAATGCACAGATACTGGGGCAAGGACATCCCAACAAACTATAAAAAAAACACAATGCTGAACATTAAAGATGGTTGAAGCACAATATGCTTAATTGTGGGCTACCTGAAGCTCCTTGGGGAGAACAGTGTTCTTCCTTAGCGCATTGATCCGTAGTCTTTCATCTGCATAGTCAAAGGCCATCTGCCTTCTTTTCACGTCACGTAGCATTCTCCAGTCAACATAGTACCCTCTGACCTGCTCCACCACACTCCAGCAGCTTCTCAGAGCCTGGAACACAGACATGAACAAGTTCAGATGCATTACACAGATGATAGCATACAGGTGATCTACCTCTGGTCCACGCGCATGTGCCAGATGCGCATGCAGCTCGTAATGTCGATCCAACGCATGCACGTGTATCAGAGGCAGAGCCACACAAAGTGCTGCTCAAAAGTTGTCCTTCGTAGTTAGAAGACTTAGCCCAAAGGCCGGCACATGACGATAGTCGTTTCACCTTACCATCCAAAGGTAATGCATGCAGCCGGCTTATACACTCGGCTCTCTTGTGGACCGGTTCTTACATAAAACATGATCAATTCAGGCTGCAAAGGCGTCGATTTCCTCCTTAACTCGATTGAATGGCGAGGAAGGAGTAAAGAAAACGGGGGAAATATGCATACTTTCTTTATGAAACACCATTTTCCACCACCATGCTAGAGTGGCTAATGCTACTTACTGATGTTGCGCCCGTCATTCAGCCCACTGGTAAACAACAGACTGCTGCAACCTGATTGGCCGAGCGTGATACGCAACATCCGGTTCTAGCATTCCTAGGCATTAGCCACTCTAGCATGGTGGTGGAAAACGGTGTTTCATAAAGAAAGTACACATTCTCCCTGTTTTTTTCCCACCTTTTTGCCATTAAATGGAGGTAAGGAGGAAATTGACACCTTTGCAGCCTGAATGGAGAATGTTTTAAGTATGAACCGGCCCACAGGGGATTTGAGTGTATAGCCGGCTGCATGCAGTCCCTTTGGACGGTAAGATGAAACAACTCAATATCTCCATCAGCTGGCCTTTGGGCTACAGAAGAATGACTACGCATGCAGAGAAAAGTTAACCAACACTCTAGCAACATCTTTACTTTGGTGAGTTACGAAAGAAGATTGAAGCCAGTCAGTCACTTAACAAAGTTGGGGAAACAAACATTTTCTATTAAAAGTATCAATGGAAAGCAGCAGAGCGTAGAGGCCATAGTGTTCCTGTTAAATTACTAGAGGGGCTATGTCAAACCTTCAGAATGGGGTGAAATGGCAGCCATATTGGTCAGGGAGAAATCCAAACCAGTCTAATTGGAATGAATGGCAGTCGAGGCATAACCCTGATTTTCCTTATGCAGGAAAATAAAATGTGATATTAGAAATGTTGTAATAGAATTAGTCAACCTAAAATATTGTCAAGTAATTAAATAGTTTATGGGTTTTATACCAATTTTCTGTATAAATAGCCTTATATGTTAACAGACCATAAATGTTTGATATTTTTGTTTTCTTGGAAAGCTGTGAGTGCTAATATGATACAATATCAGTACTTGTATCAATTTGTCTGAGTCCTATCATCAACTGATTTCAGCCAGTGTATGACTGTGGATTGGCTGCATGGTTTGAATGTAATGTTGGCATATTATGGGCAGTTCTTTTGACAAATGTATGGAATCATTCCTCAAACTGGCTGGCTGCGCAGTGCAGTGCAGATACATTCTAAAAATGCATTATTTTACACTATTACAGCACTGCCAAACCATGGTTGACCAACTCCCTGACCTTTATTCCCGCATAAGAAGGTTCATGTCCATTCTAGTATTCTAATTCCTAATTATATTGGGCAACTGCTCCCGAGTGGCGCAGTGGTCTAAGGCACTGCATCTCAGTGCTTGAGGCGTCACTACAGACCTCCTGGTTCGATTCCAGGCTGTGTCACAACCGGCCGTGATTGGGAGTCCCAAAGGGCGGCGCAAAATTGGCCCAGCGTCGTCAGGGTTTGGCCGATGTAGGCTGTCATTGTAAATAAGAATTTGTTCTTAACTGACTTGCCTAGTTAAATAAAAAAAAAAAGTTGTCGCGCGATGGACCAGAGCTAACCTTTCGTTAGCATGCTAGGTAGCAACTCCTGTCTCTTGCTCCACTTTCAGACTATAAAGTCCACAACTGAAAGTCACATTAACCCAGATATTTTACCTTTGATGAAATCAATAACAATAATTCAAACGACGTCATACCTGTTTAGGTGTACAAAAGGAGGAATGAAAAACGTTTAACCCTGCAAGTGCAGTCCTACAGGCCGCCGCCATTTTGAAAATTACGTCTTCTTCTGTAATTCTCGAAATTTTGATTTGCACAATACTACCACCTTGAGACAAGGCGGGAGTTGGCTTGACTGTAGTTTTCACTGGGTTGTCACTATCACAACCACAAAGTCAAAATTGTCTGTATCGTAATAATTCATGAAAACCAAAAATTGCTTTTTGGTCTTAATTTAAGGTTAGGATTAGGCATAAGGTTAGCAGTGTGGTTAAGGGCAGGGTTAAGGTTAGTGTTAGATTTAAACTCAGATTTTAAGAGAAATTGTAGAAATAGGCGGGGCTTAGCCATAATTATGACACTGTGGCTGTGGTAACTAGTGACGTCCTTTTCACTGTGCGAACTCATTCAGGTCAGGTGCAATGCAAATGCCATAAATATAAAATATCTTGAATAATAATAATAATAATAAATACAATTCAAGTAGGCTTTAATGACTGTAGAAGTATCTCAATGTCTAGATCGAGAACGAGAAGGGAAAGAGAGAGAGAGAGAGAGAGAGATTCCCTGCAGAACCCCATTTTCACCTAAAGATGGCAGTATTTGTTCACGGTTATGAAGTGATGTTGATGTCTGTCTGAATAATGTTCGGATTTAATCAATTTCACATCACATCGGTTAAGAGGGCAGTTCTTAAGCGTTTATAAAACAATACAAGTGAATTATTTCACAATTTTCCACCAGACCATCATTGTAAGTAGCCGCTTGAAGATGCGTTCCTGGATAAATACTAACACATAACAAATTGCTAATGTGTTCACAATAAAGAGAGCTAAGTTGGAATTTTGAATACAGGTCAACTCATCAAATGCACATCATACACTATGTGTATAATGTGAGATGCCGGCTCTAGGCATAAGCGGCATAAGTGGTCGCTTAGGGACCCCGTCCGATAGGGGGCCCCCAACAACAACAAAATGAAAATTATATATATATATACAGCACCAGTCAAAAGTTTGGACACACCTACTCATTCCAGGTTTTTTAGATTTATTAATTAATTATTTTCTACATGGTAGAATAATAGTGAAGACATCAAAATGATGAAATAACAAATATGGAATCATGTAGTAACCCAAAAAAGTGTTAAAGAAATCAAAATATATTTTATATTTGAGATTCTTCAAAATAAAGAAAAAAACCTTGAATGAGTAGGTGTGTCCAAACTTTTGACTGGTAGTGTATACTGTATTTATATTTATAGAAAAATCTATATGAGGGGTTTGGAAATGATGCAGACAATTACATTGATAGATGCTACAAAAATGTGCCCTTCAGCAATTCACTTAACCCTAATTTGCTCCAGTGGCGCCGTACTAATATGGCTGACCCTGTAAAACAAAACATTTCACGCCACCTATCCGGTGTATGTGACAATAAAACATTATTTTTTTGGACAGTGTACAGTCGTGGTCAAAAGTTTTGAGAATGACACAAATATTAATTTTCACAAAGTCTGCTGCCTCAGTTTTTATGATGGCAATTTGCATATACTCCAGAATGTTATGAAGAGTGATCAGATTAATTGCAATTAATTGCAAAGTCCCTCTTTGCCATGAAAATGAACTTAATCCCCCAAAAAACATTTCCACTGCATTTCAGCCCTGCCACAAAAGGACCAGCTGACATCATGTCAGTGATTCTCTCGTTAACACAGGTGAGAGTGTTGACGAGGACAAGGCTGGAGATCACTCTGTCATGCTGATTGAGTTAGAATAACAGACTGGAAGCTTTAAAAGGAGGGTGGTGCTTGAAATCATTGTTCTTCCTCTGTTAACCATGGTTACCTGCAAGGAAACACGTGCAGCCATCATTGCTTTGCACAAAAAAGGGCTTCACAGGCAAGGATATTGCTGCTAGTAAGATTACACCTAAATCAACCATTTATCGGATCATCAAGAACTTCAAGGAGAGAGGTTCAATTGTTGTGAAGAAGGCTTCAGGGCGCCCAAGAAAGTCCAGCAAGCGCCAGGACCATCTCCTAAAGTTGATTCAGCTGCGGGTTCGGGGCACCACCAGTGCAGAGCTTGCTCAGGAATGGCAGCAGGCAGGTGTGAGTGCATCTGCACGCACAGTGAGGCGAAGACTTTTGGAGGATGGCCTGGTGTCAAGAAGGGCAGCAAAGAAGCCACTTCTCTACAGGGATTGGACTGCTGAGGACTGGGGTAAAGTCATTTTCTCTGATGAATCCCCTTTCCGATTGTTTGGGGCATCCGGAAAAAAGCTTGTCCGGAGAAGACAAGGTGAGCGCTACCATCAGTCCTGTGTCATGCCAACAGTAAAGCATCCTGAGACCATTCATGTGTGGGGTTGCTTCTCAGCCAAGGGAGTGGGCTCACTCACAATTTTGCCTAAGAACACAGCCATGAATAAAGAATGGTACCAACACATCCTCCGAGAGCAACTTCTCCCAACCATCCAAGAACAGTTTGGTGACGACCAATGCCTTTTCCAGCATGATGGAGCACCTTGCCATAAGGAAAAAGTGATAACTAAGTGGCTCGGGGAACAAAACATCGACATTTTGGGTCCATGGCCAGGAAACTCCCCAGACCTTAATCCCATTGAGAACTTGTGGTCGATCCTCAAGAGGCGGGTGGACAAACAAAACCCCACAAATTCGGACAAACTCCAAGCATTGATTATGCAAGAATGGGCTGCCATCAGTCAGGATGTGGCCCAGAAGTTAATTGACAGCATGCCAGGGCGGATTGCAGAGGTCTTGAAAAAGAAGGGTCAACACTGCAAATATTGACTCTTTGCATAAATGTAATGTAATTGTCAATAAAAGCCTTTGACACTTATGGAATGCTTGTAATTATACTTCAGTATACCATAGTAACATCTGACAAAAATATCTGAAAAACACTGAAGCAGCAAACTTTGTGAAGACCAAAACTTGTGTCACTCTCAAATCTTTTGACCAAGACTGTAGAACAATGGCAAAGTGACTCAGGATTTTGTCTTCCTTCCTCTGTGCAATTGGTCGAATGGATACCTAAAAAGCTGAAAAGAGAAAGATTTAAAGGACCAAAGGCTAGTAATGACAATTAAGATTCTGGAAACACCACATGAATAATGTTGAACACAACAAAATTGTTAAAATCTCAGATCTACTCCTGGGCTATTAACTGAAATCTCCCAGTAATGCCAGTATAGATGATCAGAACACCTTATCCTTGCATTGTACACAGTTGAATGTACTCTGGAGCAATAACAAGGTGTGTGTTAGTCGTACAGTGTTCTGGTTCTGTGCAGTATGATCATAAACTTTGTCATGGGAAGATGAAGGGAGATAAGATAAGAGGTCTAAATGCCTTGTAAGACTCTGAGAATCATTCAATGCTTTTCTTCTTTGGCAGTTCATGCAGGTTGTTTACTGTTAAAGCTTTCACAGTATTGTCAGTGCAAAAACAAAGGCACTTCAAATTAAATAGCACAATGTCAACAGGACAAACCATTGGGGAAATGCTATAGTAGGCCTATTTGGTATGGTTGTCAATCATCTGTAGGCCTACGAGTTGGATAATTTGATAGTTTGGATAGAACAAAGAAGCATTGGAATTTTAAAAACATTTGGTGAAATTTGATTGACTTGTCAAACTTTCAAAGTTATTATTTGAGCTGTTCTTGCCATAATATGGACTTGCTCTTCTACCAAATAGGGCTATCTTCTGTATACCACCTCTACCTTGTCACAACACAACTGATTGGCTCAAACGCATTAAGAAGGAAATCAATTACACAAATTAACTTTTAAGAAGGCACACCTGTTAATTGAAATTCATTCCAGGTGACTACCTCATGAAGCTGGTTGAGAGAATGCCAAGAGTGTGCAAAGCTGTCATCAAGGCAAAGGGTGGCTTTTGAAGAATATCAAATATAAAATATATTTTGATTTGTTTAACAATTTTTTGGTTACTACATGATTCCATATGTGTTATTTCATAGTTTTGATGTCTTCACTATTATTCTACAATGTAGAAAATAGTAAAAATAAAGAAAAACCCTTGAATGAGTAGGTGTGTCCAAACTTTTGACTGATACTGTGTATATATACAGTTGAAGTTGGAAGTTTACGTACACTTAGGTTGTTTGTGTTGGTGAACCTGTAGACTTCACGTATCGTTTTGTTAGTTGTGTAAAGTACTCATTAAAAGATGTACGCATATCACGCTGCGCCTTGGTCTTCATCTTATAACGACCGTGACAGATCAAGATCCCACGAATCACAAGTGCACAAAAGAGACAACAAGCAACAGCTGATTCTCGTTGCCTCTGATTGAGAACCACCCCGGCCAACATAGAAACACATAACCTAGAACAGAACATAGGAAACGAAACATAGACACTACACAAAGAAACTAACACCCTGGCTCAACCTACAAGAGTCCCCAGAGCCAGGGCGTGACATACAGACAGATTATTTCACTTATAATTCACTGTATCACAATTCCAGTGGGTCAGAAGTTTACATACACTAAGTTTACTGTGCCTTTTTAAACTGACAAATGATGTCATGGCATTAGAAACTTCTGATAGGCTAATTGACATCATTTGAGTCAATTGGAGGTGTACCTGTGGAGGTATTTCAAGGCCTACCTTCAAACTCAGTGCCTCTTTGCTTGACATCATGGGAAAATCAAAAGAAATCAGCCAAGACCTCCAAGAAGTGTAGACCTCCACAAGTCTGGTTAATCCTTGGGAGCAATTTCCAAATGCCTGAAAGTACCACGTTCATCTGTACAAACAATAGTACGCAAGTATAAACACCATGGGACCACGCAGCCGTCATACCGCTCAGGAAGGAGACGCGTTCAGTCTCCTAGAGATGAACGTACTTTAGTACAAATCAATCCCAGAACAACAGCAAAGGACCTTGTGAAGATGCTGGAGGAAACAGGTACAAAAGTATCTATATCCACAGTAAAACGAGTCCTATATCGACATAACCTGAAAGGTCGCTCAGCAAGGAAGAAGCCACTGCTCC